AAAGTACAAATCAACCTCAAACATTAGATATTCCCATTAAGCTCCTCTGGTTATCAGCAACAAAGAGTGAGTGACTCCAGCTAACTTAAGCAAAAGAGGAATTTATTAGAAAGAAATGGGCAATTCAAAAAATTTAAGGGAAAGTTGAAAAAGTCCGAACCCAGGGAGTCCTTGTGGCCTGGGTAGGTGGAAGGAACTAATGGAGGGTTTCTACATCTGGATGAATTGGTTCCAGCTGTTTTAGGTCTTTTTGCCATTCTGCCCAAGTCCAGGAAGAGGGTGCCACTGGTCCCTTGACCCAGGGAGGGGCGTGTCCTTTGATTGACAGGCCCATCAGATTACCCAGTGAAGGGAGGGAGAGTCTCCAGAGAAAACCCAAGTGCTTTTACCAGGTGGAAGCTGTGTGGCAAAAGCATGGTTTGCATGATCTCTGATTTTCTTTCTTTCCCTTTTAAAATCATTGTTATCAAAGGAATATATATGAATGATTTTTAAAAGGTCTAATAATATCAAAAGGCTTTTAAAAGAAAGTCGCAAGGAGTTCCCTGCCTCAAGTAACCACTGCTCATGCAAGTAACCACTTTCAACTCTTTTAGCTTTTTTCTCTGGTGTTGACCGCATGTTCCTAAATATTGGGTTGTCGGAAAAGTCATGACGTATTTTTGCTATCTTTTTCGTTGCAAAACTGTGTCATGACTTTTCCGACAACCCAATAATATGCTTATAGTGACACTTCTTGGTTTATCAGTTTTAGTTATCGACGTACTTCCTGCAGGAGGAATTCTAGAAGAGCTTATACTCCCACCCTTTCCACCTTTTTTCCCCCCTGTCTCCCATCCTCTTACTGTAATTACATCCCAATTTTTGGCTACACTAGGATTTCTGTTAATAGCATTGTGGCTAAGAGCCTCCAGTGAGCTGTCGTCGGGGCTTCGATGTTTGCTTTGTGCAGGGTCACTTTGGTAAATGACTTCATCTCTTGGGCCTCATTTTCCTCACCTGTATGGCAGAGACTGTAGCTGTACCCTTCTCGAAGGTTGTTGGGAGGATTAAATAAGGTAATGCACTGGGAACATTAAGCACAGGGCCTGGCACATGGTAAGTGCTCAGGTGTTAGCTATTCTTTTCTGTTTGCTGCTGACCGGCTTACACTTGGCCAACGGGCGGAGGGAGCATCTAGGAAGTCCCTGTTCTGGTCAAGGTTTGCTCCTTCTCATTTTGTCGACATTGGCTTGTTCTTGTCTGTTCCTTTCCCCTTTCCTCTGCCAGGGGAGGGTTCTGAGGGTGAGAAGGGGTCTGTAGATAGACCCAGGGTGAAAACCTAAGTGACTTTTGACTGGCTGAGACTGAGCGATGGTCTGGGTTCATATTTTGGCACCCCCCCCCCTCTGGGCCCCTTTCTTCCTCCTTTTCTAACTTCATGGGCAAGGCAGCTGGTGTCCTGTGATGCTCTGGGCTTTTTGATAAGGTGATTCTCTTTAAGTAATCTCTATCAGCGTTACCTTCGAATATTTGCTCTTTTTCACCGTGTTTAACCTTTTATCTTGATCAGTCTTGGCCAGAGAGGTTCTTTCAACATCCGGGTGGATTTGGAATTTTTTTTTCATCAGCTATAGCCTGAACCTTTGTGTTCACCCTGGAATAAGTATCTTTCCCT